GATTCTGCGTAACTTCTGATCCAGTAGAGATATGAAGGTGGTTCCAGTGAGTGACTAGGGGTTAAATTGGCCGTAGATTCCATTTCTGACATCCATTTGTCCATATTGTGAGTCCTTCATTGATAAATAATAAAATTTTGAATTTTTCTTCCTTCATACACAGGAATAATGACCACAACGGCCGGGAGGATTCCTCCCGGCCGCTGATGGCACACCCTTGACGGCCGATAGAAACCCTGGCTGTCGAGGATGTACACTCTCGACGACCAAGAGAAACCCTCTCGGTGGTTGACACTACAAACAATACCAGTTTTGCCCCAGTAAAAAATGGCAATTTGGGTGGTGGAAAATTTATCAATTTCCCTGAGGATTTTTTACAAAATGACTCAGGAGTAAAAATTAAGCTGAAATGAGCTATTTTTTAGCCCACAAATAAAAATGCCTCAAATGATCTAGAATTAATTTTGGAATGTTTGACACATTTTTATTTTTGGGTTAAAATAGCTCATTTTAGCCTAATTCTTACTCCTGAGGCATTTTGTGAAAAAAGCCTCAGGAAATTGACCTATTTTCCACCACTCCAATTTCCATTTTTTCCTGGGGCAAAACCAGTATTGTTTGTCATTGAGAGCCAGTCCTGGAAGTTAGCCTTCCAATTCCCCTGAGAGGAAGGGAAGTTGGTTCTGGCATGTGAAGATAAAATCACTCTTTCCAAGAAGGTATAAAACCTTCTTGGAAATACAAATTTCCCCTTGCCAAGCAAGTCCTTGACCCTACTCAAGAGAGGGATTGCCATTTGCCAAGCAGGTTGTGGACCTTCTCAGATCAGAAAGAAGGATTTTGTCAGCCAGATTATGAAATTTCTTGGCAAGAGAACAGCTTTCTTACAAACTCCTTAGAAAGAGGCAACACCTCCTGTAAAGGAAATTCTTGTTGCTTGGCACGGGGAAAGCCTTCTTGCCAAGAGGTTTTTGGACCTGCTTGGCAAGTGGGCTTTTATGTTGCCAAGCCACAAAATTTGGGGGTCCAGCTCCTAGGACTTGCTCTTGATCATTGAGAGTCAGTCCTCTTGATTTCTCAAAATGTTCAAGATTTTTTCTCACCATAATTGAAATTTGGGAGGTGTTTTTCCAACTCCAAATGAAGATGATTCTACTCAAAATGGAAACTCATTTCAGGATCTGATGACCAATAGGCTCAAATATACTTGAATTAGAATGAAACCCAAGAATTTCCTAAAATACCAAACTTCCATCTATGTAAATTTATAAACATGTTTGGATTGAATTTACAACATGTTTGGAGAAACGATGATTTGCTTCAGCTTGATATTTGTTGTTTATTTTTTTGAAACTCACATTTCATATATATTTTCCAAGCGTGTTGAATAGACCAAATGTGTTAGACTAGGTATGGCCCTTTCCTGTTCAGACAGTATAAATACATTCAATTTTTTATGTAGGATAGAGGCACAAGTACAGAAACACTGGGACATGGGCTTCATGTAAATCAAATTTATGTAATTGCATCAGTTAGTCTGTATAATCAGTTTATTCAGTTTATTCATGGTGGTACTTTCTAAGGTGATCACATGTGACCAGTCTTTCTAAGATTCTTGGCAAGGAAGCCATGTTTCATTGTCATACAGGCACTTTGTAAGATTCTTGGCAAGGAAGCCATGTTTCATTGTCATACAAAATAAATGTATGGACTGACAATGTAACTGTACAGACAATCTGGGCCACTGGAAAATAAGAATACAAGAGGGAATAAAAACTTTAAATATCACACCTTTTTTGAATTCTGGCCCTGGGAAAAATTTAATTTCAGTTTCAAAACTGTCCACTCCAAAGTCTAGCTCACCTCATCTTCTAATATTTAATATAATTTCTCTTTTCAAAATTTCCAAATATGAATATCATGTGGATAAACATGGCTATACAATTATTAACCTTTCAACTAACAGCAAACATTCAAAGTGTTGATGGCAGCTTCATGAGGAAATCAACAGTCAAAGGCAATACAGGTACTTATCAATTTGTTTTTTTTCTTATTGATCAGGGCCACACAAGCATAGATGATATTTTCTACTGACACAATCCCATCACTCTACTTCTTTTTATCAAACATAGGCCTTCATCAAATTATTCAAGAGTGTCAGTTTTTCTCAGAGTTCTTCCTTCAAGCATTGGACTGATTAAACTCCAATTGAAAAATGAGCAGGTGATCACTCTCCCAAGGAAGGGAAAATTTCCTGTGGATGTTATTCCAATAAAATTCTCACTAGAGGTTTCAAGGAACTATCTGCCACTAAAGCAACCAACAGTTCTCTGAAAGATGGTGAAATTTCCAACAAGGGTAAAATTAGGAGTGGTGAGTCTCTTCCACATCTCAGATATATTGAATATTTTGTGCTTAACAAGAATCCGCATTAATTTAACTGAATTCAGAGCCCTGGAAAGCAGTTTATGCATGTTACTCCAAGACCATCAAGGATTTCACAGCTTGGAGATCTGATTACACAAAGCTGAAATTGGATGAAGAAACAAATCAAGAGGTTGAGGTGCACTTGAAAGAGGTCATCAATTCCGTAGAAAATCTGTTTGAGAAGAAGCTTCATCAACTGGAAAATCAATCCTATCATTCTATACAGGGATTGAATACACATGTTTCAGAAAGAATGTTTGAGACAGCAGATCAAGATTGGCTTTCATACATTGCTGATTTTTTGAAGATTGAGAGAATAACAGGCATCTCAAAAGGAGATGATCAAGAACGTAATGAAGAAATAGAATCTGCAATCATGCGTTGGAGAGAGCTCACAATGGATTTCTTCATTGATTCACAAGAACTTAACATTGTTTCTGAACAAAGTTTAATTCATTTCCTCAACAAGAAAACCAAGGGAAAGTTGATCTCAGACTATATTATCCACTGCTTTGATCCAAAAGGTTACAAGTTCCGTCTTTACAACTTTGACCTCATACTAAGCCTCAAAGAGTCACCATTGGTGCAAAGAATGTCTGGACTATTCAAAAGTAGGTTTTAGTTTCTGTTTATAGATAATGAAAACAT